TTTCTATTGTATCAAATACTTATTTCATGAAATAAAATGGAAATAAATTATTTAAAAATCTAACAATGTGATTTTCTGGAATTTTTTTTATAGATTCTGTCTATCACAGTTGAGGTGTACCTACGATGAAAATTACAGTTCTGTCCATTCTTTAAGTGGGAAAACTTGAAAAATCGGCATTGTATCAAATATTTAATTGCCCCACTGTAACACTGACCAGGTGAAGGGAATAAACTGATTATCTCGTTACAGTGGCACCTGTCAGTGTGTGGGGTATATTAGGCAGCATGTGAACATTCAGTCCTCAAAGTTGATGTGTTGGAAGCAGGAAAAATAGCCAAGAAGTGACGTGCGGTCAGAGGAGGCAGGTGAGGCAGAGCCTCCCCTGTCAATCTTGAAAAGAAAAAAAAGTTAACCATAAAATATAATAAAGGAATTTTTTTCGATAAAGAATAGCAGAATTTCCGTATGTCCCGTTCAAATACATGGAGGAGATGCGCGATGAGACAGCACTTTGCTGTGCCTCTCGGTGGATCGTGTAATCCTCACAAACTGTATGCGATGCAAATAGTGTGTCACTGTCCCTCTATATATCGCAAAGAAAATGCTTTCAAACACTGATTATATGCTCTGCCTTGCCATAATCTGGATAATGTATAAAATGGGGTTCTGTAACGTGTTTAGGCTCGCAGATTAACCATAAAACCCAGTTTAAAAGTTACTCGGTGAGGCAAACAGTACGCCTGCCTCAAGGCAGAGGGCGCTACCTACTGACCTTAAATATCAACATTTGTTTTAATATTGGATTCGAACGGTAAAAGGGTTTGTAATACATACCAGCTGACAAATGGATTTCGTGTACAAGTAAAGGTAAGACCATAAACTTTTATTATTTCTAGTTAGAAATAAGCTCAATTGGAATAAATTTTAACCTCAAATTAAATATGGGTCACGTTTGTGTGAAGAATGCTGATATGAGATATAAAACATAACGCATTGTCTGTTAACAGACAATTTGTTAACGGTTCATTTGTATTTGTAAATCTGACAGTGCCTCACCAGCTGTCAACCTCACCGCACGTCACTGTAGCCAAGTGTAAGGATGAGTGACTTTGACAAGGGCCAAACTGTGATGGTGAGATGACTGGGTCAGAGCATCTTCCACACTGCAGGTCTTGGTGGGTGTTCTTGGTCTGTAGTGGTTAGTACCTACCAGCACTGGTCTATGGAAGTACAAATGGTGAATTGGCGACAGTGTCTTGGACACCCACGGCTCACTGATGATGAGGTTGCACTAGTGTAGATTAAACTTTTACTGATTTGTACTTTTCAAAAGATTAAAATTTATTTGAATCTTTGTTAAAATGGTTGAACATGACCACCTGTACACTGGTCTCTATGAAGAGAAAGAGTCAGTGGCTGTAGTGGTGATATCACACCTAGAGTGGTGAGGCTGCTGAATTTGTCTAAAACATTTTCTCTAACTTGTCCTCATGACCACAGTTTTCACTCCTTTTACATACATTTTTCACTGAATTGTAGACACATTTGTGCTCTTCCTGACAGTATAACTGTAGAAGCAAATGGATTCAAAGAAGATGTACAATGAGCTGCAGAGTGACATGAGTGCCAACCAACTGCCACATTGACTCCTGTTTAAACAGTATTAGGCAGGAGGTCATAATGTTATGCCTAATTGGTGTACACTATAAAGATGATGATACTGTGTAATCGTCATCATCTTTAAATGTAGGGCTTTCATTTTTGGTTAAGTCTTTGATCTTTGTAATGTCATTGTCTTTTTAGGTGAGCTGCTCTTCTACCTATATTTTATTATTGCATCTCAGTCTGCATTGTTTCACCTTATTTCTTCTTTTGTTATTAAGTAAAAAATCATTTTAAAAATATGTCTATATTTTTGGGGCGGTACCCTAGTGTAGTGATTAACACTGTTGCCTCACAGCAAGAAGATTTTGGGTTCAAACCTTGTGGCCGACTGAGGCCTTTCTGTATGAGTTTGCATGTTCTCCCTGTGCCTGTGTGGGATTTCTCCTGACTTCCTCTCATGGTCAAAGACATGCAGGTGACATGGTGACTCTAAATTGCCCATAAGTGTGTGGTTGTCCTTCTATAAGTGTCAGCGCTGTGATAGCCCACCTCTCACCCAGTACCAGCGGGGATTGGCTCCAGCTCCCTTGTAACCCTCTACAGGATAACTGGTATAGCTAATGGTTGGATCTGTGTCTTTTCTGTTTCAGCTCCTAATCGTCTTCCAGGCAATGTGTCATGGAAAGCAGATGACTCATGGGTAACAGTGAGGTGGGACCATGTAACAGCCATGCACAATGAGTCAGCTGTACTGGGCTACAAAGTAAGTGCTGTTGGCTAAAAGTATGTGCTTTTGTGCTTTTCTGCATTAAAGGTGCTGTTTCCTTTGAGATTTTTAGTAAAGGTAGTTACAGAAGTGCTGACAAAAGGCCCTTTGTGTCCTTATGGTGACTTGTAACTTGACTTGCACTTAAAATACCTCTGGTATGTTATGTATGGACACAAAGACTCAAATGAAATAGCATATGTAATTGAGAGCACCACTGTGAGTAGAAACATTTATGCCCTGTGCTACGGTATATTGTTAAGAATGTATAGACAGACGTAGCTCTCAGGACTATGTCATGATCATGTTCAAATGTTAAATACTAATGACCCCGGCTGATGTGTTACTTTTGGTAGGTCACCTCATGATACAAGTAATCTCCTTTGTGAGATAGGAGAAGTAGTAAAAAGGCTGTATATCAAAATCAAAGATCATGTTTATAACCTTTGTACCTTCCTATGCATTAGAAAAGTTTATAATGAAATGATAACAACTGTACAATGGCCCTTTGCTTTGAACACAAACAGTGACATGGCAGTGTATCACAAAAACATTTTCTGTAACATTATATATATGTTTTGAATAAGATGTTTTTTCACTAGAATATTAACTACTAAATATGTATTGTGTAGGGACGGGATGATGTGACTTTTTCTTAATAAGATTCGATGGTGTGTACAATTCGATTCATTCACAATACAATAAAAAATTCTGTGACAACAATGTATGACTAGCTGTGGAATACTGGTATTTTATTCCACTTTTTTCCCCCCTTTTCCAGTACTGGTTTCATTATGTAAAGAACAACCAGATATATTGACTTGTGTTCCATTAGACTATCTTATTTACAAAAATATATGAACTCCCTGGTGTATGGAGACCACACGGTATATATTGCTAGACAAATTGATACATATTGTGATGTTTTTGTATTGCGATATATTGAATTTTGATATATTGCCCCATCCCTAGTATCTAGTAATGTAAAGGTCTCAACTAAACTGCAGACCTTATGTGTTTTGTGTGTGAGGTTCTCTACAAACATGATGGTGAGACGGCACTGAAAGTTCTGGACAAGGTGAAGACATCAGTGAGCCTACCGCTGCCAAAAGATAACGGCTATGTTGTGTTGGAGATTCGGTCTTGGGGAGAGGGCGGGGATGGGCCGGCACATGAGATTATTGTGTCCCGGGACTCAGGTGAGAAACATGCACCAGAGTTGTGCCTACATGACAGATGTTTTAGAGTAATATGAAAAGACAAAACTACTCAGTGATGATAAGAAAAGCAACTGGTAAAACTTAAATTACTGTAAGTGACCTTTAATCTCTAGGGGAATTACAGAAATGATAACAAAAATGACTGTATCTGCACAAATTAGTGATGTGAAGTTCAGATCATTTTACTGATTTGGTTCTTTGAACCTCGTTCAGCAAAATGAGTTCGAGTCATTTCGTTCACTTCAGCAGAATGTAATTAAAATCTTACATGTTAATTCCCCATCTACTTATGAATTTTTATAAATAAAAATAAACAATAAGCAACCATTCAAGAGTCAATCTCTTATTAAATAAGTACATATAGATTAAAACAACACTCAGATTTATGCATGGATTTATACATTTCTATTTTCTACACTGAAGGGTTATCCGATGTTTATTCAGATGTTTATTTTTGTTAATAAAAAAAATAAATAAAAGTATGTAAGTAAGAAAGAAAGATTTTTCCCTGATGAAGTTTAAAGCATTAACCAACTCTATATTAAAACACTCAGTGTTATGGAAAAGAACCATATTGACAGATATTCACAAAACTATAGTCTGTAGGAAATAAAAGGCTATTTTATAATAAAAATAAATGCATCACGTAACAGTAAGAGTAAAAAAAAAACCGTAAGGAAGGTTGAAAATTAACTAAATTTTGTATCCAACAAAGCGGTCATGTCACCTTACAAAAACGAACAACTCGAAACCAAGGACTCAAAAGGCTTCTGGCTTCATCCACGGGCAGCACGGTGGTGCGGTGGTTAGCGCTGTTCTGGGTTTGAGCCCCCGCCGACCCGGGTCCTTTCTGTGCGGAGTTTGCATGTTCTCCCCATGCTTGCATGGGTGCTCTCCCGGTGCTCCGGCTTCCTCCCACAGTCCAAAGACTTGCAGCATAGGTTGATTGGTGTCTCTAAATTGCCCATAGGAGTGATTGTGTGTATGAGTGGTTGTTCGTCTGCGTGTTAGCCCTGCGATGGACTGGCGACCTGTCCAGGGTGTACCCTGCCTCTCACCCGCCCCTCCCTGGCTGGGATTGGCTCCAGCCCCCCGTGGTATTTGGGACTAAGCGGTATAGAAGATGGATGGATGGATGGATGGCTTCATCCACACATCCCTGACTCTGATATAGAGTTAGCAGGCTACACAGTACAGCACCATGATAGGACAAGGTAAGAGCAGAGGAGGGGGGCTATGTATGTACGTCAATAACAACTGGTGTACACCAGACTTGGAGTATGTGACTGTCAAATGCAGGCCCATGTACCTCCTAAAAGAGCACAATGTGGTCTTCATAACAAATGTGTACCGCCCGATGCTAATGCTAACTCGGACATTTATATGGCAGTATTAACAGTCAGCAGAGCAGATATCTGGATGCTGTGCACATCCTAGCAGGGGGCTTCAATTATGCAGATTTAAAGACAGTACGCCCCAAATTCAACCAGCATGTAAAGTGTGCTATTGGAGGAGCCAACACTGGACAAGGTTTATTCAAATATCAAGCTAGGCTATAGGGCCAGACCACTACCACACCTGGGCCAGTCTGACCACTTGTCCTTGTTTCTAATTCCTGCATATACCCCCCTCAGGAAAACTGCTCCTACCATCACAAGGACTGTAAAAACTTGGCCTGATGGTGTCTCTCAGCAGCTACAGGACAGTTTTGATAGGACCAACTGGGACGTTTGTGAACATCCAGACCTGGAGGTGTTCACAGTGTCCTATGTTATATTAAGAACTGTATAGACACTGTTACCGTGGACAAACACATCAGGGTCTACCCCAACCAGAAGCCCTGGATGAACTGGGAGGTCAAGAGGTTACTGAGAGAGAGGAACACTGGCTTCAGGACAGGTGACAGGGCTCTCTACAGCATGGCCTGAGCTAAGAGAGGCATCAGAAAGGCCAAATTGGACTACAGAAGGAGGATCGAAGACCATTTGGACATCAACAACAGCAGCAGGCAGGTGTGGCAGGGAGTCCAGCATCTTCCCAACTACAGGAATAATTTCAGTGTGGCTGAAGGTGACACCTCGCTGGCAGAGGAGCTGAACCTCTTTTTTGCCTGCTTTGAGGGGCACCAACCAGACACAGCCAAACTTCACTCAGCGGCCCACAGTGGCCCCACCCTCACAGTAAGGAAGCATGAGGTGAGGTGCACACTGTAAACCCGAGGAAGGCTGCTGGACCGGACAGTGTCCTCGGATGTGTGCTGAAGGAATGCGTGGACCAGCTGGCTGGAGTCTTCACCAGGATCTTCAAACAGTCTCTGGCCCATTCCACTGTCCCACCCTGCCTGTAGTCCTCCATCCTAGTTCCCCTGCCTAAGAAACCAAACATAACCAGCCTCAATGACTACCGTCCAGTTGCACTCACTCCAGTGGTGATTAACTGTTTTGAGAAACTGGTACAGGGCCACATTATGTCATTCCTCCCACCAACATTTGACCCACACAGTTTGCGTACAGGGCAAATAGGTCCACAGAGGAAGCCGTATCCACAGCCCTCCACGCTGTGCTGTCCCACTTGGAGCATCAGGAGAGGTATGCATGGCTGCTCTTTGTGTATTATAGCTCTGCATTCAACACCATCCTCCCCCACAAACCGGACAAGCTGGTGGACCTGGGAATTCCCTATCCCACCTGCACAAGGATTAAGAGCTTCCTGTCCAGACGCAGCCAGAGGGTGAGAGTGGGCCCACACACATCCATGGCTCTCAGCCTCAGCACTGGTTCCCCACAAGGCTGTGTGCTGAGCCCCCTGCTCTACCCTCTGTACACCCATGACTGCAACCCCACCCACCATGGTTGCACCACTGTAAAATTTGCTGATGACACCACTGTGGTGGGGGTTATCTCTGGGGGGGATCAGACTGCCTACAGGGATGAGGTGGAGAAGCTGATAGTGTGGTGCAGAGAGAACTGAGTCTGCTCCTTAATACCTCAAAGACTAAAGAGGTCATTGCTGACTTCAGGAGGAAGAAAACCGACATCTTGCCACTGTATATCAGTGGGGACCATGTGGAGAGGGTGCCGGCATTCCACTTTCCATATTGAGTAGGATCTGATCTGGGGTGTGAATACCTCTGGACTGCTTAAAAAGGCCCAGCAGAGACTGTACTCCCTACGGGTGCTCAAGGAAGAACAACATCTCCCATATGCTGGTGTCCTTCTATCGGTGCTCCACTGAGAGCATCCTTACATACTGTATATGTGTATGGTACAGCAGCAGTACAGTGGCTCAGAGGAAAACGCTCCAGAGGGTCATTAATATGGCCCAAGAGATCACCGTCTGCCCTCGCCTTACTCTGGAAGAACTACACAGTTCCCGCTGCCTCAAAAAAGCTCAGAACATCATTAAGGACACTTCACACCCAGGACGTTCACTCTTTGAACTGCTGCCATTAGGTAAATGGTAATCAAATCAAAGACCACTAGATTCAAGAATAGTTTTTACCCAACAGCAGTTACCACACTCAGTGCTGCTACAATATACAGTAATATGCCTGTGTGTGTGAGAGGGCTGTTGTTTATTTCATTTTTTTAGTGGTTATGTTTTTATATGGTTATATTTCATATGTTTTTTTGTTTTTTGTTACTGCTGCACCGACTGAAGGTCACTTTAAAATTTCATTGTACGTGTTACAATAACAATAAAGGATTATCTTATTAGGCAGCACAGTGCAGTTTTGGTGCTCTTTTTGACCCAAACTAAGGATAGCAATAACACCTGCTCAGACCACCTCTTAATGTTATTGCAGGTGCATTTCCAATTTTCCTGACAAGAGTGTAGGCTGGGAAGCACAAGATCAGGTGGCCAAATATATTTTAATGGCCACACAACTTAACATTAAAGGATAAGGCCAGTCATCTTCTGTATTAATAGTGTTTTCAACGCCCCCCTACAGAGACTAAGACCAACCGTAAATTTCCACAACTCACAATTAAATTCAGTCTATCAGAACTGGATTATCTTATTCATCTGTGCCATAGACCTCATTCATGTTCAGAAACAATTATAAACACATCAAGGAAACACACCGCTGCACTTAGTGACGTTTTCTTAATACAAAAGACCAGACCTTGATTTTTTTTTTTTTATTGTTACCCCAAAGGCTCTGAACAGCCACTCGCTGTTGGTTTTAGTCTCTATATGGGTAGTGTTGAAAATGCTGTTAATATGGAAAATGATTAGCTTTATCCTTTAACCCTTATATACACTTCTGCTGGAATTCACTGGGAATGGTTTGTTGTGAAATTATCTTAATGGTTACGTATGTGTGAACATATAAAAAGATTATTTTTAAAAAAGATAAACTAGTCCTCAGTATATGGCTATAAGTATGAAGATGACAAACAGTGCTGATGTGGCTCAGGATGCACCATCTGTTTTTAGAGGATGCAGCCAGAGGTGATCTGGCAGTTCATGGACCTGATAAATAGACAGCAGGCAAAGTCAGTGCAACCTCAGTTTGTGCTGCTGCTCATTACAGGACCAGAGACTTTACACAAGAGCTGGTCAGTGATATCAGCAGACTACTGAGTGAATACTGTATTTATGTGCAGTACCTCTATAGTACATGGTTTTGTCATCACACTTTAGGAATGGAGTATATAACTGGCAGGAGAAGAAGATACAGGGAAAGAATCTTAACTCTCATATATTTCTATGTCCTGACATCAGTGACTCAGTCAGTAAAATTTCTGTCCCGCTCTTTAAAGGGGATGAGAGGAGCTGGTTTGATTGAACAGAATTAAACCCAGCCCCAACTCCACCTGGTCACCAATGTATTCCTCCCTATACAACCTCTCCTCCACAATGCACCTGATAATGCCTGACTGCTGTGCACAAAAGTGTGCTCCATCTGTGGTCACCAAAATTGCAAAACTTAGTTGAACACACCCATATGGGTCTTGTGGATGGAAGTTAGACATGAACTTAGCACTGCATCCTATTTCAGAAAAATAGGAAATTGTCTTCTATGGCTGACCAAATAATAGCAAAGACAAATGCATACAAATATAGCAGGAA